CGGTAAGAACATTTGGCGCCCACCGTGGGGCCGATCAAGACAGCTCTTATCGGCCACCTGTATGGTTTTCACCAGAAGCCACAGCAGACGCGCAACAGACGACCTGGATCACTCAACTACCATGGATAGTGACGCAGCAACGTTGAGGAGGCTGATCGACCAGGTCGAACAGATGCGGCAACAACACGCCGCCAACCTACAAAGCATGCATGCCAAGCACGAAACTGATCTAGCGGCAATACGCACCGCTAATGAAGCCGACCTAGCGGCACTACGCGCCGAGAACGAGCACATTCGTGCCCAACTCCCTCGGCGTCCCTCAGATCAACCCCCTCTGCAGAGTAACCTGAATGAGGACGAAGGGCATTCGGTTTCTAAACCTCGAACTACGCCGAGTAGAGGATCAAGTCGGATTTTTACCTAGACGGTACAATATATATATATATATATAACCGATTTTTAAAAGTTAAAATCTATTATTATAAACTAAAATTTCTCACTTATTTTTTGTTTACATCTAGTGAATGTTGGAGGGATTATAGCGTGTCTTGCAACATGATTTTGACTGTAGGATTTCTCTTTATAAAATTAGATGGTTGGAATTATTTTGTGTCTTTACAATCATTACATCTTAATATTCATTTTAAAAATATAATAATAAGTTGTAAATAGATGAGATTCAAAATAATTAATTAAAAAATTGGTATTAATGTGTTGAACATAAAGTTGAATCAATCAGGTAGTGTTAAATTCAATCTTTGATAGAAATAATTTTTAATTAAAATTTATTTATTTCTCAATCGAATTAGATTAGTCTAAGGAAGTGTTAAAATATTAATGTAAAAAAAAAGCTCAAAACAATATCATTTATATAATTTTATAAAGATTTAAATATGTTTTTAGTCTCTTAAATTTAAGGTAAATTTATTTTTAATTTCTCAAATTTAAAATTGTTGTTTTAAGTCTTTATAATTTTAAAAATAGTCTCTCAAGTCACCAACAACATATTTGAAAGTAACAAATTGAGACAATTATGCAACACCAACTAAATTTAATGTGATGTTTTTCACCGACAAGAATATTTAAAAGCGAAAGATTGAGATAATAATGTAATATATGTTGGGTTTTTTTTTGGTACAAATATATGTTGGGTTTAATGTGATAATTATAAATTTTATATGACAATATTTAATAGATTTCATAACAAAATTTGAGTACAAAAATTAAAATAAGATATTTTAAAAGTACAATGACTAAAAGATCAATTTTAAATTCGAAAAATTAAAAATAAATTTACTTTAAATTTAATTAAATAAAAACATATTTAATCTTTTATGCATTAAAATCGTGGGAGATACTCTCCACTTTTCCATTCTTGAATCCGTTGTTAGGTTGTATATCCTCATGTTCGGTTTGTAATTAGGGATCTAAAATGCCATTCAAGTTTGTAAGGATTTTAAACAATGTAAGGAAACAAAATTTTAATTAACTATTATTGTCATCTAATTAAAAAATTAAATTTATTTACTTTTAAAATTATAAAATTCAATTTAATTATTAAAAATCCTTAGTAATCATTTAATTATCTATTACTCTACACTAATAATTAAATTTAGAGTTTAATGAACCAAATAATTAAATACTATAATAGAAGAAAGAAGCATTTCCATTATATTCAAATTTGCGAACTGCATCTGAAAATGCTCACATTTCCAGGTAGAAATTTCATTATGAAACAATGATGTTTACTAAAAGATTAGGCTGCCAAAGCTTGGACGCAACCATAAAGATAAGGGAATTTAATTTAAACTTCTAAAGATACTCATCAAGTGTAGTTAACAATATATTTGATTCATTTGCATCTTTGATATATTTCTTTTTTATAGTTTTGAATTAGCTAGACCGAATTAGTTAATCAGATAGATTTGATTGAGAATCGATTTTTTATCGGTTTGATCGATTTTCAAAATCATCTAGCAACGATTTGGTTAAAAATTGGTAGAACTAGTTTAATTATTTTGTAAAAAAATTTAATTTAAAATAGTTTTAATAAAAATATATATTTAAAAAATTATAAATTTGAATGACTTATTTTTAATACTTTTTTTATAAATATAATTTAATTATTTATGTTAATTTTTAATTTTTTACAATTTGTATTATATTAATTTGAAGTAAATTTATTATTATTAGATATTTTTATATTTTATTA